AGGTGTGCATGGGTGGGGTGCAATTTTCCAGAATCCACTCACCTTTACAGATTTACCACACCAGCGGAAATAACAGTCATTGCTCCTTCACAAATTCTCAGCTTTCTCTCCCTTCCCTAAAAGAATCTTTTTAGAAAGCATTTCCGACATTTTCACTATTTACATCATGAAGGTGAGTCCTGCAGGCCTCGGGGAACCTTGGCATCTGAGGCCAGGGTGTGCCCAGGTGAGCTTTGACCCGGCTCTGCGCCGGGCGGTCACCGAACCTCAGCCATCCCTCGGCGAGGCCAGAGCCACCTTTAAAGCCCCCGCCTCCCTCCGCCCTGGGGCTTCTGGCGGTCATCTCGGTGGCTGAGGAAGGTCAGGGCCTCTGCACCCTTCCCCCAGCGGGGGACCCCCAAGTCCTGCGGCCTCGGGCAGCCCCGCAAGCCCCCGCGCTGTGATGGACCACGTCTCCAAAGCTGCTCCGCTAACTACTGTCACCTGCAGCCCGGCCACCTGAGCCACAAACTGCTGGCCTTCCGGACGCCCTCACCGCTCCTCCTCCGGCCGGCCGTTCTCCAAGCCCTGCGGCGGATCCTGCCGGACCCGGCGAGCCGGGGGGGAGGGGTGAGCAGGGCTGCAGCCAGGGGGGAGGGTGGTGGTCAGGACAGGGACCCGCCGGCGGTGAGACCCAGATTTCAGGCCCCAGGTGCACGGCTGCAGGTGGAGAGCCCCCTGAAGAGGGCGGGGTCCAGGGAGAAGAAGGAGCTGGGCGAAGGCGGCACCAAACTTCCTGCGCCTCAGTTTCTGGTCTCTAGACGAGAGACAAAAATAGAACCTAAGGCGTGTGAAGAGCACAACAGTCAGCATCTGTAAAGCCTCGGGGACTCCCGTTGGCACGTGGCCAGAGCTCGGGGCGCTTGTTAATTGAACTTGGTCCGCGCGCCCTGCCCCACCCAACCACGCCCCGGTCAGGCCCCGCCCCGATCCGGCCCCGCCCCTATCCTCTGGCCCCGCCCCCACATCTAGCCCTGCCTCTACTCTCAGGCCCCGCCCCTGTCCTCCCTAAGGCCACGCCCCTGCCACCTGGCCCCGCCCCAGCCCCGTCCTCAGGCGCCGCCCCGTCCCACCCTCCGGCCCCGCCTTTGCCCACAGGCCCTGCCCTTGTCCCGTCCTCTAGCCCTGCGCCATTCTCTGGCCCCGCCCCTGCCGGGCTCAGCCTGGCCCGGGCCCCAGGCGCACCGGGGACTCCAGGGGGACCAATATGTGTCCCCGCCGGGTCTCTGCGCCCTGGACAGGCGGCGGTGGCCCCGCTCTGCTTCGGGAGGAGGGTTCTCGGCGCAGTTTGGGAGAAACACCCCTACCCAGGAAACGATCCCAAGTCGGCGCCTGGAATGCGAGCGCCACGGGGTGGAAGAAGAGGGGCCCTGAAGGATGGCCCCAGGCCCCGAGGGCAGGGCAGGCGGGAATCAGGCCTGGGGGTGCTTGCTGGAAAGACGGGGTGAGAGGGAGCCGGCCTGTCTGGGCACTTCCTGCTCCTGGGTCCAGCATCACTTCCCCTGACCAAGCGGGTACCAACACATCAGTCTCTGCAGGCCAGTGCCCTGGGGACTGCACGGCCCAGTTCCCCCACAGTGCAGCCGGGGACGCCAGCCGCATCACGACTCTCGGTGGCTTTCAGGATGGAGACCAAGGACCAGCCCTGGCCCTCTCCAGCCTCACTTTCACTCACTGGTGAACGCACTCAAGGATGTCCACAGTGAAGCTAGCTGCCCAGGCCACCCTGACGACCCCAAGTGGATGACACCAGGGCCTGGGGCAGGGGGTGGACACAGGGGCAGGCAGAGGACAGCAGCCAGGCCCCAGAAGGCCTGACAGTACACCTCCTGGGGCCAGCGTTTCCTGGCATGCCTGTTGGTCCCTGGCTTATCGGGAGACTCCACATAGTGGTCAGGGGCTGAGATAGTCACACCACTCTTGGTGAGTGGGGCTGCGAGGGGGAGCCTAGTAGACATACATATATATATATGTATATAGTCAACCTTAAAAGTACAACAGCCAGTTATTTTACCAGCAAAACAAGTTTATTCAGGAATAGCCAAAGAATTGCAACTCAGGATGTGTGTCCCACAGTGGACCATAGGCAAATCCAACAAATGAGGGAGAGGAGTGTTATTTTACAGAGAAAAAGGAGGAAGTTGGGAGGGGTTGTTTTGAAGGAAAGTCCATTGGAGGAAAGGGAGAGTTCGCGGCAGTGACGGTTTGTCACTGGCTGAGTTGCTGGGATCCTCGATTTCTTTTTGGGATGCCATGTACATTTCTGCCAGTAATTGATGATTCTTTCCGCTTGACATCTTTTTTCTGTTGGAGTCTGTAGTTGACATTCTTTCCTGTAACTGAGCTCACTTAGTCCCACGTGGGAGCTCCCCCTTCTGGCCTCCTGACTCCACTTTAAACAGGCTTTCCCTTTATCAATTTTCACAATATATAGATGTAATACATATACATATATTAATAACAACTTCATTGATATGTAATTCACATATGTGAAAATTAATAAAGGGAAACCTCATTTAAAATGGAGGCAGGAGGCCAGAAGGGGGAGCTCCCACGCAGTACCACTGGAAGTCAATTACAGGAAAGAATGTCAATTATAGACTTGGACAGAAAGAAGTCAACCAAAAAGAATGTCAATTACAGGCAGAAATGTGCATGGCATCCCAAACAGAAATCACTACCCCAGCAACTCAGCCAGTAAGAAACCATCACCGCCTCGAACTCTCCCTTTCCTCCAATGGACTTTCCTTCAAAACAACTGCTCCCAACTTCCTCCTTTTTGTCTATAAAATAACGTTCCTCTCCCTCATTTGTTGGATTTGCCTGTGGTCCACCATAGCATGCACATATTGAGTTGCAATTCTTTGTTTTTTCCTGAATAAACAAGTTTTACTGGTAAAATAACTGGCTGTTTTATTTTATTTAAAAAATTTTTTTTTGTGAGGAAGATCAGCCCTGAGCTAACATCCATGCCAATCCTCCTCCTTTTTTTCCCTTTTTCTCCCCAAAGCCCCAGTAGATAGTTGTATGTCATAGCTGCACATCCTTCGTGTTGCCGTATGTGAGACGCCACCTCAGCATGGCCGGAGAAGCAGTGCGTTGGTGCACGCCCGGGATCCGAACCCAGGCCGCCAGTAGCGGAGCGCGCACACTTAACCGCTAAGCCACTGGGCGGCCCCCTGGCTGTTTTATTTTTAAGGTCAATGCATACCATACAATCCACCCATTTAGGGCCTGTCCGGTGGCGCAAGTGGTTAAGTGCATGCGCTCTGCTACGGCGGCCCGGGCTTCGCCGGGCATGCACCGATGCACTGCTTGGCAAGCCATGCTGTGGCGGCGGCCCATATAAAGTGGAGGAAGGTGGGCACGGATGTTAGCCCAGGGCCAGTCTTCCTCAGCAAAAAAAGGGGAGGATTGGCAGATGTTAGCACAGGGCTGATCTCCTCACACACAAAAAAAACAAAAAAACAATCTAGCCATTTAGAGAGTACAGTTTGGTAGTTTTTAGTATATTCATAGATATGTGCAACTACCATCACAATTTTAGAACACTTTCATGGTCCTGGGAAGAAACCCAGTACCCTTTAGCAGTCACTTCTCGTTCCCCTTCCCAGCCTGTGGTGACCACTAATCTCTCTCCACGGATTTGCCTACTCTGGACATTTCATGTAAATGGACCATATAATATGTAGTCTTTTGTAACTGACTTCTTTCAGTTAGCATAATGTTTTCAAGGTTCACCCATGTTGTAGCATGTGTCAGAACTTCATTCCTTTTTTTTTTTTTTTTAAAGATTTTATTTATTTTATTTTTTCCCCCCAAAGCCCCAGCAGATAGTTGTATGTCATAGCTGCACATCCTTCTAGTTGCGGCATGTGGGACTCGGCCTCAGGATGGACGGAGAAGTGGCGCCTCGATGCGCACCTGGGATCCGAACCCGGGCCGCCAGCATTGCAGCGCGCGCACTTAACCACCAAGCCACAGGGCCAGCCCTGAACTTCATTCCTTTTCATGGCCAAATAATTTTCCATTGTATGGATGTACTACATTTTGTGTATACATCCATCAGTTGATGGACATCAGGTTGCTTCCCCCTTTCGGCTATTATGAATAATGCTGCTGTGAACATCTAGGTACAGTGTTGTGTGGACATACGTTTTCATCTCTGTTGTGTATATACCTCGTGGGTCCTAGATAAGTAGGCTTGTACTTCATAGATTGGTTATCGTTCAGGTCATCAGCAAAGTCCAGTTCCACCAGTCCTTACCCACAGGATATTCAGGTCCTTACTGACTTCTTGGAATGTTGGCAGTTTGGTCCAGTTTGGGAGATAAACAAGACGTGTGAGGCATTCCTCTGAAATGGCTGCTCTGGCTCTATTTTGAGAGGCTCCACACCATCTTTCACAATACCTAGGAGGAGAATTGCTGGGTCACATGGTAACTCTATGGCTGGAGGAGATGCCAGACTGTTTTTCAAAGTGTCTCAGGGCTGAATATTTTTTGGGGGAGCCCTGTCTATGTTAACAAATTGAGTCAACCAAAATCCGCATGTCCACTCCATTCTGACGGCCCAATTTCACGACATCCCGCTAAAGAACTGCCACTGACAGGGACGACCCTGTGGGCCAGAGTCCTCGAGCTCCTGGCGGCATCTGGGCAATCGCATATGGGGTATAGGGTCGGGAAGCGCCCCAAAGGGAGATAAGAGCAGGGACCACGTCCCGAGCCTGGGCCAGGGCTCCGCGCGGCAGGGAGGCACTCGGTCCGGCCGCCCCGGCAGGAGGGTCTGCGGTGGCCCCTGCTCCGGCGGCCCGGGGCACAAGCTACCCCGCAGCGCCCCCGGGCTCCGGCTACCTAGCAACCAGGCGGCATCCTTCCCAGCAAGCCCTGCTTGCAACCCGGGAAGGCAGGACCACGAAGCCCAGCATGCCCCGCGGGGCGCCCGGACTACAAGCCCCACAATGCAGCGCCCACCCTTTCCTCGCCGGCTCCGCCCTTGCTCTCCGGAGACCCCGCGGAGAGAGCGCCGCGACCCCTTCCCGGCGCTCCCCGCGCCGTGCGCGGCGCGCTCTCGCGGTGACCTGTTGTGCGTGGGGTCAGCGCGCGGGGCGGAGCGGCGGGCCGGGGAGCCATGCGGAGGGGCGAGCGCAGGGGTGCCGGGGGGCCGCGGCCAGGGTCCCCGGTGCCCGCGGGCAAGGCCTCGCTGGAGGAGCCGCCGGACGGCGCACCCGCGGGCCGAGCGCCCGGGCCGGGCCGCCGCAGCACGGAGTCCGAGGTCTACGACGACGGCACCAACACCTTCTTCTGGTGAGGGGCGTCCGCCCGGGCCGGCGGGGGCGGGGGGTGCCCGCGAGACCCCCGGACGGGCCCCAGCTCGGCCTCCCCGTGGTCTCCCCGCATTTGCGACCCCTGCCCGGGAGCGAGGGAGTGAAGGGGTTCCCATCCTCCTCCGCCCTGGCCCCAGCCCGGTCTCCCTTCGGTCCCCCCGTATCTCCGACCGCTGCCCCGGAGCTGTCCGCAGACGTCTGGCTCCGCTCCCTCCCCTTATCCTGGGAGGACTTGGCTCAAAAGTCACCTCAGAAAGGCTTTTTCTGACCTGTCTGTCCAAAATTCGCCTCTGCTCTCCGTGGTGTTACGTTCTTTTGGTTTCTTCGCGGCGCCTGTGGTGTATGAAATTACGTCCTGCGCCCCCAGCTCAAGCAATGACATTAACTAGTATGAACAACTCACCACGTGCCAGGACTTGAGTGAATGTTGGTCGAGTAAAGGGTATTTCTCTCTTTACCTGCTCCTTGCCAGGCCAGCTCTTTGACTCCTGTACAGCTGAGTCCCAGTAAGCCTCAGGGTCAGGCTGTCTCCAGTCTGCCTTAATGGGGGTGGGAGACAGAGAGGCCCGGGAGCAGCTCCTGCCCTCCCGGAGCCTCTGTTGGAAGGGTTCATGCTCTGGCTTTAGTCTGAGTTTGGCAGTTCTCTGTTTGAGGGTTCAGGAAGCAGCCCTGGACAGGAATGTGACAGGCAGGGCTCCTCCACCTCGTGGCTCTGTGACCTTGGGCAAGCCCTTCTCCTTTCTGAGCTGCTCTCTCCTTATTTGTTAGAGAAACAAACCTCTCAGGCTAGAAAGTGTGCTTCATGAGAGGAGGGGGCTTGTTTTTTCTTTGCTGGTCAGTTCGTGTCCAGCTGAGCCACTAACAGTGCGGGCAGTTGAGTCCTCTGTGGGGCTCTGGGGGACAGGGGTGCAGTTGATGTGGCCTCAGCCCAAGGAAAGCTCACAGGAGAGGCAGACGTGTCTTTTGCGAGAGGAATGCATGTGGAAGCACAGTTATGGGACCTGGTCAGGGAAGAGGAGAGCCTGATAGGGCTTGGATGTTACAGGGGAAGGTGGGCCACAAGGGTGGAGAGCTCAGGGGAGGTGCATATGGGACTGAATGGTGTCCTGGTTTGTATCAGACTCTGGAGAGACGCAGGAAGGTGGGTGTGGGGGGAGGTGGCCCTGCATCTGGACGAAGTCGGTGTCTTCCCTGTGGATGCCCAGCCCTGCTTTGGGGAGATAACGCGCTTGAGCCATCGTGAAGGAGAGAGGGATGGGGTGCCTCGTCAGGGGAGGTGTGGCCCCAGAGCTAGTGACCTGAGCAGTGTTGGACCCTGCCGGACGTGCTGTATGTAGATCAGACCTCTCCATCCGCTGTCCTGCTGGGGGGGTGGGGACCAGCCTCCCACAGCCCAGTTGGTGACCACTGGAGACTGAGGTCCTGGAGTGTGGTGGCTGGGCTCGCTTTCCTTGTTTCCCTTCGTTCAGCACATATTTTGGGGGCTCCTGGGTGCCAGTTACTGTTCTAGGGCATACAGCAGAGAACTAAACAAGTGGCTTAGGTTCTGGCACAAGCGTGGAAGCTCAGAAGGCACGCGTGTGCTGGCTGAAGGGAGGCTGCGTGTTGCAGCACCGCAGAAGCCAGCGAGCACACGCCTCATCCTGTGCTGGGAAAGGCGTGTGCTGGTTTCTTTAGAAGCACAGACCCACAGCCCTGGGGTCCCTGCCCACAGGGGCTTGGTCACTGGGGAGTGGGGCACACAGACCCTGCTGTGGCTGAGCTTACCTGTGGGGCAGGAGGCTTTCCAGGAGGGGCTGCAACAGGGCTGGTGTTCTCAGGTGTCTGCCTCGGGGTCTCCTGGTGGGTGGCTCTGGCCTCCACCGCAGGTGTGGGATGTGCTGGGCCCTGGCCGGCACAGACACCGTCTCTGGTGTGTGCAGGTTCTTGCTGCCTCATGGGCCTCCCCCTCACCTGTGGGGGAAGGAGCTTCACGTTTCCTCAAGGCAGGTAACCATATGCCTGCCTGTGAGCATTACTTATTCTTACCTGCACAGCCTAGCCACTTAGCTTCTTCTGAGTCTCCCATCACTGACTTGCTGGGCTAGAATTTTAAAAACTCTTATTTTGTATTTTAATGATGAATGTTACAAAAAATTAACATAAAGACTAAAAAGCATACATTTGTGGAAATGACTTTATGTTTCAGAATTCCTCAAAGGAACTTCTGCAGGATTCAAAACCTCGTTTTAGGGTTTTGTTTTCAGAGGCGAGGCTTCTTTGGAGGCTAGTTCTGGTGGCTGTGAACGAGGAGTTTCTTTGTTGTTCTTTGTCAGCCACAGGGTGTGGATTTAGGGTTCAGGGTTTGCCTGAGCCTTGGAGCCCTCAACCTGGCTCCCCCAGACTGAGCCCAGGGGAAGGGGCATGAAGACCACGGGGTCCTCGGTGGCAAGGATGCTGCCTCTTCCACCGGTCGCGGTGGTCTCCGGTCCTCCACCAGTCCTGGTGGTCCCCAGTGGGAAATATCCAGGTAAAGTGTTAGGACCACACACAGAGGAAGATGCGTCAGCTCGCGTTGTCTGAAAATTGTGTGGGAGACGCTTGGAGACGCGATGCCCTGGAGGGCTGCTGCCCCACACGCCACCTAGGGATGGGAGGCTGGATTGGCAGGCTCCCCGAAGGGCTCCCGGGCCAGGGTGGGACAGACAGTTGTGACACGGGGGTGCTTGTTGTGCTTGTACCTTAGAGCACCCCGCCTCCGGGGAGCACTCTTGGTGAGTCTCGGGGCTCTGCTGTCAGCGGCACATCTTACAGTAGCCGTGAGGGTGTGTGGACGTGATCTTAGGTGCCCCAGGTTCTGGAAAGTGCCTTTCTCACTGTGGGTTAGGGGTTTATCAGCTTTGCCCACATCTGGGTAGCATAGTTCGCCAGCTGGTGCCTTTTGGTCTTGCTGGTCAGCAGGCTGGGTGGCGGGCGGTCAGTGTTGTGGTCCCAGGCGCCTCTTGGAGGCCTGGGGAGGCCCTCTGGTCTTGGCCTTTCCTGGCCGAGGCGTTGTCATGCACTCAGTCTCTCTTCCACAGCTTCGTATCTTCTCTAATTGGTTTTGCAGGCCTGCCTTCCTGCCCACTCTGCATAATGAGTGTGGTCATCTCAAGAGAGGGACTGACAGCCGGGTATTTTCCATTCTTTGTGGCAGGGAGCCAGCTGTCCTCACTCCCTCGCCATTGCTGAGTGACTGGAGTCGCAGGACTCACAGCGCTCTCGTCCTAGGCCTGGATCACAGGACCCAAGCCTTCACCCAAGCTGTCTATCAGCCGTGAAACCGAAGGGTGTGTTTGTCTTCCTGGGCACCAGGGAGTGGAGCGGGGAGCCGCAGCCCTGCTCTGGTGTCCAGGGGCACAGGGAGGCCTGGAGTCTGGAGTGCTGTCCGGGGCGGCTCTCAGTCGACGTGTCTGGATCCGTCAGTGTTGACACGCTCTTGCTGAGCGGCATTCCTCGAGTGACAGTCTGTCTGAGGAGGTCACGCGTCATTGCTGAAGTGCTTGCGTGCACGGCTGCCGTCCTGCTCCTGGTCTCTGTCTCCGTTTCCTTTCCCGCCTCCGTTTGGTTATGTCTCATTTCAGCCGACCTGTTGCTTTTAGTGTGTCTCTGGTGCTCTGAGTTGCTCCCGGTACAGGGAACATTCCTAAGCTTTCCGGGCACCAGCTTTGCCACGTCAGGTCCATGTTGACCCATCTAGCCTCCCGGCTGTGGCCATGCTGGTCCCCGTCAGGCAGCATGACAGTGGCTGCTCTCGGTCGGACGTCTGACGTGTCAAGAGCTCAGGAGGAGCACGGGCTCCTCTCTGTCACTTCTGTTCCTGGCGGTCCCCTGTCCCTCTGTCTGGAGAGCTTCCTTTAGCAGTTCTTTTAGAGCAGGTCTCCTGGCACTGGGTTCTCCTTGTTCCTGCATTTGAGAATGTTGAGTTGGCCTTCATTCCTGGAGGATGTTTTTGCTGGACACGGAATCCTGGTTTAATGTTCCTTTCTTCTCAGTGCTTCAAAAGTTGTGTCCCCTCCTCTGGCCTCGTGGTTTTTGGTGGGAAATCTGCGTTCAGCCTCGGTGTTGGGTGACTTGTGTTTGCAGCTGGCCTGGGTCTGTGCTGTAGCTGTTCCATGGGTCCCTCCGGCTCTGCCGCATTCCCCATGTGGAGTTCAGCTGCAAGTTCCCTCGTGGCTTAGGGCTCAAATGTGAATATATTTAAAGCAGAGGGTGGTTGATATTGAATAGTATTACAGTAGACAGTTAAAGAAGTTTTACTTCTACTTGTTTTAAATGCCCAGTATTGTGAAATGTGACGGCAGTACACGTCTTTGCTTTCTTCATTTGGGCTTGTCCACTTAAACACAACTTTTTTCTTTTCATAAAGAAAATAAAATTTAATTGAAGGGCGTAAAACAACACCTAAGTAAGTGGAGAGATAGTCCATGTCTTTTGAGTGGGCGAGTCCTCAGTATCACTCACATATCAGTTCTTCCCGCATTAGTTTATAAGTTCAGTGCAATTCCAGTCAGAATCCTAGTAGGTTTATTTGTGTTAGTTTGTCAAAATGATGTTAAATTAACATGGACGGGTAAATGTGAAAGAATAATCAGGATGAAGACACAAAGGGGCAGTCTGCCTGGCGTCAGGGGGGTTCTGGCTGCGGTCCAGCCTTCAAGTGCCACTCTGCCCTCATGCTTCCTGAAAAATCATTTGAATCGAGTGCGATTGTGTTCAGTGACACACACCCTTAAGGTGGGTGTGTGCACCCACCTTAAGGGTGTGTGCTTGACTGACTTACACACCCGTGCGGACCACCAGGGTCGGCACATGTAACATTTCATCTCCTGGAAGGCTGCTGTGCCCCAGCCTCCACTCCCAGTCCCCCTGCTGTGTCGACACCTCTTTCGAGTGTCACGTCTGGGGACGCAGACGCGGGTGCTTTTGTGCCCGGCCTGTGTCAGCATCATGTTTCTGAGGTTCATCTGTGCTGTGGCTGGTGTCCGTGGCTCAGCACAATGTGGATGTTCCACTGTTCGCACATCCTGTGATAGGCACCTGGTTGGCTTCCAGGCTCAGTTGTTGTAAATAAATGTTCACATACAAGTCTTTGAATGGACATATGTTTTCGTTCCTCTTGGGTAAGTACTTGGCAGTGAATGGCTGGGTTGGATGTATGTTTAACATTTTAAGAAACTGCCAAACTGTTTTGCAAAGCGTCTGTACAATTTTGCAGTCCCACCTGCGATGTATGCAAGTTTTATCTGCTCCACATCCTCGCCAGCACTTGGTGTTGTCAGTCTTTTTGTCTCGGCCGTCCTAGTGGTGGTGCTTATGCCTTCATTTGCTCTCACCGTGACCAGTGGTGCTGCATGTCTTGTCATGTGCTCCTGGCCACTCCTGTGTCTTTTTCTGTGAAGTGTCTGTTCAGACTTCTGTCTGTTTTTCATTAGATTGTTTGTCTTTATTGTTGAGGTGTAAGAGTTCTTTATATATTCTGGATACAAAGTCCTTTGTCAGATATATGTATTGTGAATATTTTCTCCCAGTTTGTGGCTTGCTTTTGCGTTTCTTTATGGTGCAGCTCTCCTTTGTAATAATTTACGTTTTCACGGAGTTCTGACAGGAGACAGGGCGCTAACACTTGGTGACAGGTCCAGGGCTCAGTGCTTTATGTGTGTTCACGTACTCTTCATGATGTTCTTCGAGGTTGGAGGCATCCTGGTTTAGAGATGAGGTCACATCATCTCTCCAAGGTCACCCTGCTTGTTTGGACCTAGGCGCTGGGTCTCTGGCTCCCTTTGCAGGCAGTCGTTAAGATGCAGAGGGGGCCGGGGTGAACATCTGTCGTGGGGCAGCGTGCGGGCCTGTCTTAGCGTTGGTCTGCTTGCCCTGCAGCCCTGGTACCTGACTGGCCGTGGGCCCTGCTTCCAGGTGAGGCACGTCCGCCAGCTGCCAGAGAGCGCTGCCGCCTTCCTCCCGTGTCAGGGCTCTGAAGGCTGAGCCAGTGAGGGGACAGAAGGGACTGGAGCCCTTGTTGCCCTCCAGCTGGGCGCCACGTCTCTGCCAGGTGTTTTAAGTAAGTGTGCCCCTCTGGCTTTGGGTCCTGGTGTCTCTTTCTCTCCGCTCTTCCTGTCTTGGCCTGTCGTCCTCACAAATCTCTCAGGCGTCGTCATTTCATGGGTCACGAGGCCAGTCATCTCAGCATAACCTTGCTCAGTGAAAAGTGCCATGTTAACCTACTGCCAGTCGCTCTTCAACAGACGCCTGCTCCGGGCACCAGCGGCAGGATGTGCCCTCCTGTCCTCTGAGCAGCAGCCCTGAGCGTTCCAGAGTTCCGTCTGCTCCCCACGCGCGCGGGGCTCTTCCCGCTCCGACTGACAGGCTGATGTGGGAACGCAGGACCGCCTGGGAGGCGCCAGCTGGTCCCTGTCAGTCAGTGTTCCTCCACTGGAGGTTGAAGGCTGAGCGCTCTCCTTTGGGGGCGCATGCCGCACGTGGTCGTGATGCTTTCCGTGCTCTGATATGGTCTGCGTGTTTGGATTCCAGGCGGGCCCACACCCTGACTGTGCTCTGCATCCTCACCTGTGTGCTGGGCTACGTGACGCTGCTGGAGGAGACCCCGCGGGACACGGCCTACAACACCAAGAGGTAACTGGCCCCGCCCGGGCGGTGCGGGCGCCTGGCCTGGCTGGGGGCTCCTTGCTCTCCTCGGGCTGGCCGGGCCCGGGGCCGCGTGCCCTCAGGCCGTCCACGTCTGCCTCTCTGCCCCTCTCCGCTTGTCCCTGGGATCCTTGACGGTCCCGTCTCCTGTGTGACCTGCAGCTCACGCTGCATGTGCATGTGTGAGAGAAAGAACATGCTACAGCAGTTCCAGGGATGGAGCCCGAGAGGACGTTCTCATCAGCATTTCCATTGGGGAGTTCCCCCACACCAGCCAGCAATTCTCAGACACTAGCTGGGTGTCCTTCCATTCAACTCAGTTCTGACACTGTCTGTCTGGGTGGCGTCAGATCCCACAGGTAAAGGGCTCCATCCTACAAGCCTGCCTTCCCCCCAGCTTCAGACCCCAGTCACAAGTCCTGGTTGTCACCTGGGCTTCTGATCCACCGGCTATGAATCAGAGGTTCCCACAACCCCCTCCTCGGGTTCGATTAATTTGCTTGAGTGGCTCACAGAACTTAGAAACATTTTACTCACTGGATCACCGGTTTATTATAAAAGGATGTAACTCAGGAACAGCCAGATGGAAGAGTGTAAGGGGCAAGGTGTGGGGAAAGAGCGAGGAGCCTCCACGCCCTCCTGGGGTGCCTCACTCCCCAAATCTCCACGTGTTCAACAGCCCGGGAGCTCTCCCAACCCCATCCTTGTGGGTTTCTTCACATGGGCAAAATTGATTAAATCATCGCCACTGGCAACCCATGGCCCCTCACCCCTCCCCAGAGATGGGGGGTGTAGTGGGGGAGGCTGAAAGTTCCAGTCCTCTAACCACATGGTCGGTTCTCCTGCAACAGCCCCATCCTGGGGGGGGGGGGTTCCAAAAGTCACCTCATTAACATGACCAAAGACACCTTTCTGCTCTCATCACAGGAAATTCCAAGGGTTTTAGGAGCTCTGTGTCAGAAGTGGGATGAAGACCAAATATACATCTCTTGTTATAAATCACAACACCATAGAGACTGAGTCTGGGCGTCTGGGGGTGTGCAGGTCTTTGTGACGACCAGGGGTGGTCCCTGTCAGTCGCACCGTTCTTCTACGCTCTGTTCATACTGACACTTGTTGAGAACTTTAAACCGACTTTAAGATGTCAGACGCCTGAGTGGTGGAGGATAGCATCCTCAGGTCAGGCAGTGTAGACTGTCTTCACTGTTGTCTCTAGAGGTGGGCTAGCTGAGGGCTTATGTGTCCTCTGCCCGGGTCCAGTCTCAGAAGTGTGTGAGGAGAAGCTGGTTTCAGGACTCGGTCCTTTGAGTTTTCTACATTGGATGGACTCACTTCTCCTTCTCCAGGCCCACGAAGCCCCCGTTGCTCTTCCAATCCTGGGGCCCAGGCCCCATTTGCTCTGGTGGGGCGGCCGGAGGAGGAGGGGACAGAGGCGGGGTGCCTGGTGCTGCCCAGGGCGTCCCGTCAGCTTTGGTTGGTGGGGCTGGGGCTTGGGGACCTTCGTCACCGGAGCCAGCCCGTTTTTGTTGAATGAGGGTGTTAGCGTCTGCCTGGGAGTGCAGAGTGAGCACGGGTACGTGCTGTGCAGGTGTCAGCAGCCTGTTAGGACGCCAGGAGGCGGCTCCCTGTCCATGCCACCCTCAGACCCCAGCTCTTCCCCGCAGCTGCCGGGAGTCTGGACTCGGCTCTGCTCCTGGAGCGCGCGTCTCGCCCTCAGCTGTGAGGTGCGTCTCCTGCCCTGGCTCCTGGCTCCACACTCGGGGGTTCCCTCCCTTCTCCCACGCCGTCTCCCAGTCGGCTTGGCTGGCTCTTCCTCCTTTCCCTGAGTCCCGGCAGTGCCGCTGCTCCATGCCCCTGCTGCCCCCGCTGCGCCCTCTCAGGCGAGTCCTCCCAGCCCCCAACTGTGCCGCCGGCAGAGCCAGTTACAGCGGGGCGGGCGTGCTGACGGAATCCAGTAGAGTGGGGAGCTCGGGCTGCATCCTGGCCCCTGGCGGTGGGGAGGCCTGGGGCTGAGCTCACTGCAGTGGCTCCCTGTGGATACGGGAGACAGTGAGGCTGTTGGTAGGGGCCTGCACTTGCCTAGAGGGGCTTTTTGAGTAGAACTTGGTCTTTTCTGTGAATCTGGCCGTCAGCACCTGGTGTGGCAGGTGTGTGGCGGGTCTGTGGCGTCTGCTGGGCACAGCTGCTCGAGGAGTACCAAAAAGCAGGGCTTGGTCACACTCAAGAGGTGTCCCCATACGGCTGTGAAGTTAGGCCAGAGTTGAGCAGTTGCGACGTCACTGGGCAGGAATTGTCGTGAGGAAGACTGTGACCCCCCCCCAGCCAGTGGGCCATGGGAGTGCCTCCCGACGGCAGGGTTGGTTCTCCTTCACCAGACGTCTGCCAGGGAAGTCACGAAGCCTCGCTGCCCCGGGCCCTGCCCTCTGACCCAGACCCAGGGGGCCGTGGGATCAGACCCCGAGGTTAAGGGGGCTTGTTGGCCATGTCCAGGGTAGCAGCTGTGGACCGGTGTGGGTAAGTCCTCTTCATTCTGCACTGGCCTCTCTGCTGAGCTGTCCCTGCACATGAGAGGCTGGGACAGGGAGCACGAGAGGTGCTTGGGCCCCCCATCCGGGAGTCCTGTGCCAGTTCATTGAAAGAGAGGCGGAGCGGGGGAGGAATTTGAGGGCTCCTGGCTTCTCTGCTCTGAAGTTCTGTGTTCTGGGGACACTGGGCGTCTTTTAGCTCACAGTCTCTGGCCCTCTTGGCCCACTTCAGGGCACGGAAGGAGCTACCCTCCTGGCCCTGTGATTCTGCTGGTGGTGCCTGGAACCTGCTCCCGGCTCCTCCCTGGGCACCTCCATTGCCCCAGCCTCCGTCGCTCTGCTTGCTTCTTCAAGGACATTCTCGTGCGTTTGTGTCGTGTGTGCATGAGTTCATCTGTCCTCAGTCCTCAGTCCATCCTCCCCACTTAGACCCCAGCCGGACCCACCGCCCCGCCCCCCTCGTCAGCACATCTGCCTGGGCTCACAGGGGGCCCTTCTGGGGCAGCTCCCTGCCCAGCCCCCCCCGAGTCTCGAGGAGGCTGCTGGCCCAACTTACTTGTATTATGTCAGAGTTTTTGATGCCCTCAGGGATAGGTTTCATGTACAGAAGATACTTTCTAAAGGTTACACTTATTTAAAAAAATTAATAATTATGTTAAAAATTTAGGGGGCCTCGCCCGGTGGTGCAAGCGGTTAAGTGTGTGCGCTCTGCTGCGGTGGCCCAGGGTTCGCCAGTTCAGATCCCGGGCACGCACCGACGCACCACTTGGCAAGCCGTGCTGTGGCGGCATCCCATATAAAGTGGAGGAAGATGGGCATGGATGTTAGCCCAGGGCCAGTCTTCATCAGCAAAAAGAGGAGGATTGGCAGATGTTAGCTCAGGGCCGATCTTCCTGATTTGTTTGTTTTCCTTCAATTTTGGCTTGTGTACCGTTGTTCTTTTTATGGATCTAAGAAGGTCTGTCACTTTGGGGGAGTAAGTTTTGTTTTTCTTCTTAAGTCAACTTTACTGATATGTCATTTAGTATTACATGTATCTAAATGAAAGGTAGGGCTCAGTGCGTTTGCATGGGTGTGTGCATCTGTGTGCCCCCACCAAATGGAGCTCCACGTGGAGCAACTCTGAGCCCTGCCGTCAGTCCTCCACACGCCGGTCCCCGCGACCACTGACCTGTCGCCGTAGTTTCACCTACGTGGAGGCGTCCACCTCGAACCCTGTCCAACTTGTTCCTCTCGATGTGTTGTTGTGTCTGCCAGCCGTTGTTCTGTTTCATTGCTGGGGAGTGTTCCGCTGTGTGGACGCACCACACAGTTCATCGATCCATTTATCTGTTGGTGACGTTTGGGACGTTTACATGTAGGTGTAAATATATAAGTATAAATATATAATTAATATGTTTTGCAGATGTATAATATATAGAAAATATATTCACAGTACTGAAGAAGAACAGTCAGAGGACTGACACCACCCAGCTTCAAGGCTGACTCTGAATCGACAGTGATCAGGACAGTGTGGTATTGGCAAAAGGCTAGACAGATAGATCAGTGGAACAGAATAGTAGCCCAGATACAGACCCACACAAATGCAGTCAACTCATCTTTGACAAAGGGGCAAAGGCGAGTCAGTGGAGGGTGGTCTTTGAACAAATGGTGCTTTTACAACCAGACATGCACACGGAAAAAAATGAATCTAGGCCTTACACTTTTCACAGTATTTAACTCAAAATGGATTATAGACCTAACTGTAAAATATAAAACTTCTCAAGAAAACACAGGAGAAAATCTGGTGACCCTGAGTTTGGTGATGACTTTTTTAGATGCAACACCAAAAGCGTGATCCATGAAATAAAAAATTAATAAGTTGGACTTCATTAAAATTAAAAACTTCTGCTCTGCAAAACACACTGTTAAGACAAGGGAAAGACAAGCCACAGGCTGGTAGGAAATATTTGCAGAACGCACATCTGATAAAGGAATTGTATTCAAAATATGCAAAGAACTCTTAAATCTCAATAATGAGAAAACAAACAACACAGTTAAAAACGGGGCCAAAGATCTGAACAGGCCCCTCAGCAGAGAAGATAGTGAGACGGCAAGTGAGGGCCTGAAAAGAAGCTCAGCACATCTGTCATCAGGGAGACGCGGATTAAAACAGAGAAATGCCACTCGCACGTGGATGAGTGGCTCACGTGAGAACAGGGAACAACATCAAATGTTGGGGGGCTGTGGAGCAACAGGAACTCGCACTGCCTGCTGGCGGGGTAGCAGAATGGTGTGGCCACTTCGGGAGACAGTCAGACCATCTCTTACAGAACTGCGTGTGCTCTCACCGTGTGATCCAGCAGCTGTGCTCCTAGGTACCTACCCAAATGAGTTGAAAACTTACGTCCACATAAAAACTGGATCTTGAGAGCAGTTTTATTCGTAATCACCAAAACTTGGAACAGCCAGGATGCCCTTCAGTTGGTGAATAGATAAACTCAATGGAAAATCATTCAGCGATAAGAAGGAATGAGCTATCAGGCCACGAAGACGTAGATGAAACGTAAATGCATGTTGCGAAGTGAAAGAAGCCAGTCTGAAACGGCCACGTACTGTACGGTTCCCACTCTGACATTCTGGCAAAGGGGGAGACTGTCTAAAAGACCAGTGGTTCCGGAGGAGGGGAGAATGACACGGAGAAGCGTGGATGTTTTAGGTGTTGAAGCTGCTGTGTATGGAGCTGTAACAGCAGACACGCGACCCCAGGCCTTTGTCCACATCCAGAGACGTGAACAACATGGAGCAAACCTAATGTGTGAAGTCGTGAAACGTGGTGTAGGAGGTCGGGGATCCGGGAAGGGTGCGGCTGTGACAGGAGAAGGAATCTGAGTTACAGACGTGTGCAGCCACCTCACTGAGGGGCTGGGGAGGGGCCGACCTCGGTCACTCTGGAAATGAGCGGAGTCTGTGAGACTGAAGGCGGGAACCACACACAAGCACTGCGCTCAGCCGACGACGGCGTTCCCCACAGGCCCAGGCCCCGAGTGTGTTCCTGCTGTACGTGAGAGCTGGGACTGGACAGTTCAGTGGACGGATGGTGGGGCCAGGGATCTCACTGCTGGAGAGGAGGTTACAGGTGAGCAAGGGGAGGCTGGTCCACAGGCATAGACGGTGGGAGACGTGAGTGAGAACGCAGGTTTAGCCTAGTGCAGGTACAGATGGTTACACGCAGAAGTATTTACCATATGTGTGTACGTACACAGTCAGTACACACATACATCTCATTGCTCTGCCGGCTGAGGCCGAGAAGCCACAACACCCAGGGGCAAGGAGCACCCTCGCCCAGATCTTGGTTCCTCAGACCGTCCTCCCATGAAGGAACCAGGGCCCCTTGGAGAAGCGGCTGGTTCAGGGCCCAGGCAGGAGATGCCCAAGGTGGGCCTGGTGCTCTTCCAGCGCCAGAAAGGAAGTGCTCCCCAAAAAGTGCATTGAAGGGTATGCCAGAGGGACACGGGGGCCAACTGAAAGAGCTCCCTGTGGAGCAGCATCAGTGACGTAGGGACTGTAACCCAAAGCACAGCACAGATGCCACCGTCCACACAGACATAAACAAGTGACTGACCACAGGAGCAGGTGGTGGGGAGGAGACTTGTCTTCTTCAGGCAGAACTCCAGATGACACGCAGACGCTCCCCGTCAGGAGAGGAGCACCCCTCGCCCCCCTCGAGAGCGGGCTGTGCAGAGGGACCTTCCCCCAGAGCACAGCATGGAGGGGACCTGGCAGACACGCCTCAGCTGGGGACGGAGGTCGGAGGTCGGCATCAACATGGAAATGGTCCTTTCGCTCTGCAATCTTACTCCCCCAAACCTATAACCCTAATCTAATCCTAAAAAACAGCAGACAGCCTTCATGAAGGGATCCTACAAAATCCCTGACCAGTCCTCCTCAAAACTGTCTGGGTTATCTAAAACAAGGGACTGCCGAGGACCCATCACAGCCAGAGAGGCCCAAGGAGACGTGACGAGTACATGTCGTGTGGAACCTGGGCAGATCCTCGGGCAGAAAAGGGACATGAGGGGAACACGGGAAATGGGAAAAACCAGGGACTGTAGTTCATGTGTCAGTATTGGTTCATTAAGTGTGAGTAATGAACCATACTAATGTGAGGTGTTAAGAATAGGGGGAACCGGCTGTGGGGAATATGGGAATTCACTGCTGTCTTTGCAGCTTTTCTGCTCTAAAATTAAAAGTTTGTTTTAAAATGTAATTTATTTGCTTTCCTTTAAAAGTACGTCCTTCTCCTGACTGACTAACCTTCCCAGGTGATCTTAACGCTACAGTGGACGCGTAACTGAGGATGGAGGCATGAGGCTGACCTGGCGAGGGACGGTTGCCCGGCACCATGGGCACAGGCGCCCTGGGATCGCATCTCCTTAGTTCTTTTCTTGCCGTGACTCTCCGTGTGCTCACCCGCAGCTCTGAGGCCATCTCTCGGTGACGCCCACTTCTCTCTCTTCGGGGCGGGAGGGTGTTTAGTGGTCTCTTCACCTGTCACTGCAAGGGTGACTCGGTGCTGCTCTGCAGGCAGCCCCGCACATGCTCGTCACGTCCACACCCACCACTGACCACTGGGAGGCCTCAGGCAGGTAGGCACCTCGCTGACCCTCTGTGTCCGTGCCTGTGACGGGGCTGTGGGTCCTGCACCACGAATGACCAGACCGTGGTCCCAGCTTCGCTCGGGGCAAGCAGGGCCCTCAGCCCCACTCCTGGCCGTGGTGTGGGGTAGGCAGGACTGCAGAGGGCTGCCGGGCGGCATTTTGCACCCCTCGGCCCTTGAGCACCTGCTGGCCTCCCTGTGGGCTCGGCCTCACCTTTGCCTGCCCTCGAGACCCGGGTGCTCTTGGTGGGCAGAGGGGAAGGTGTTTTCAGACTGAAAGTCTGTCGACAGACTGCATCCGGCCTCCGTCTGTCCCGCGTCAGCACGTGTGCTTGTGCACGGCAGCTTCTGGTACAGCAGCCAGGCCCGCCAATGGCAAAGTGTGGGGTCCTCTCGGTGTGACTGTCAGCAGTGGGAAGGGCGGGCGGCGCTGCACTCTCAGACGCCGTGCTGGCAGGTGGGCGGGCGGGCGCACCACAACCCTCTGGAGCAGCGGAGTGGCACGGGGAGGGTGGGCGTGTCTCGGTCCAGGCTTTGGTCACAGGTGTGGACATGTGCATGCCATGTGAATACTGCTGTCTGGGCCTCCCTACCTGAGCCGGTTCTCTCTGGCTCAGCCTGCTCCGTCGTCCCGGGCTGTGTGTGTGTATGATTATAGTCTCAGGACTCACCCTGTCTTCCTGTGAAGGACAGCAGGCCTGTTGGGGTTGGGGGAGGTGGTCCCAATGGGACAGGAGAGCTATCTGGTGGCACCTGCTGGGGGTCCACGTCCTGGAGCAGAAAGGTTATCCTAACGTCTTCTCATCTTAGGGGGGCTTTAGTGAATCCTGGATTGTCATGGATGGAATTTTAGGTGATTTTTAAAGTGTGACGTGCCTATTAGTGGTGTAACACTTTATGGTATAAATAACTCTTAGCCCCCACTGGAAGGCTTCTCCCCGGGGGTGGTGCTGCCTCTGGGGGCCCAGAACTGATCCGGGGGCTGCTGAGGCTGGGGTGGTGGAGTTGGCCGGGCAGCCCTGCCCCCCGGGTCCCAGCTTCCTCCTGCCCTGCCCCCACCTGGGGGTCGGGCATCACCTGTAGTGGGCGTCCTGGGGTCCCTCGCCCCTCCCTCCTCTCACCTCCTGCCTGGAGAAGCCGACTTGGCACGCGCTGCCGCACACTGAGGGGCTGTTTGTTCTTTATTTGCAGAGGTATTGTGGCCAGTATTTTGGTTTTCTTATGTTTTGGAGTCACACAAGCTAAAGACGGGCCATTTTCCAGACCTCATCCAGGTAACTTCCGTTTTTTTCTCTGTGTGTGCCCGCGTAGCAGCTCTGTTCTGAGCGGTCGCTGTGTCTGTGCTGCTGGGTGTGTCCTCCCCTCTCCTTGCCCCTCCTGGCCGGCCAGGGCACACTTGTCAGCCGAGGAGGGTGTGGGGTGCGTTTCAGAGAGACCCGTAAGTTCTGCTTCCAGCCACCTGGTCCTTCAGACCCTCGGTGTCCCGCTGCTCCCTGTCCTGCAGCTGTCCATGCCCTTCTGCTCCTCCTGCCCTCCCTCTCGTAGGGGGGTTGTCCCTGCAGGCTGGGGTGCCCCAGGACCGGCCGTGGGGTTGGTGTGGGCTCGAGCTGCTGGCTCTGCCCTTGGCTGTGAGGTGCCCGCCTGCTGTGGGGGAGCTCACTGGGTGCCTCCTGTGGCGAGTTTTCCCGTCTCTGTCCCCCACTCCCCAAGTTATGGGGACTTCTCACAACCCCTGGACCTCAGAGCTGGAGAACGCTGCTTGGCCGCCCCCGGGCCTGCCCTCGGGCCCCAGCGTGTCCAGGGCTCCAGCCTCACCCAGGGGCCGGCTCTGGGGGTAGGGGGTGGTCGGTTTTCCTGAGGGGTCTCTACTTAGTACCGTGTTTCTTTTCTGTCTCAATAGGGGTGTGTATTGTAGAAAGTTGGGAAAATACAAAAATATTTTTAAGTAGAAATAAAACCACTCAGGAAAGAAGCCCCATTAAGTTCCGATGTGTGTGTGTGTGCGTGCACACACATCGCTGTACGGAGAACAGGGCCGCGCCGTGTCGGCGTCCTGCACTGCGGCTGTGACGCGAGCATTTCCTTGTGAACCGTGTATTTGAGAGCCGGGTTTTCATGGCTGCGGGTTCAACCGCCATGTCAGCATACTACAGGTTACTTAAAGTCCCGTGGGGTTGTATGTTCGGGGCTTCCAGCTTGCTGCAATAAATCAGGTGCAGTGAACTCTTGCACATCCCGCTGTGTGTACGTCTCTGACTGTTCACGTAACAAAGTCTAGGAGTCGAAGTGGGGAGTTACAGGGCCTGAGAGATGCTGTGGAACTGCCCCCTGGAAGGGCCGTGTCTGCCCAGGGCTGAGTGAGGGCCGCGGTTGAGCGCGGCCTCAGTGCTCTGCCGCTTTAGTGCCTAGTGGGGACGTCGATGCTGGTCACCTGCGTGGTCCCTGTCCGTGGGGCGGTGGGGAGTGTCCCAAGCTGGAGGGCACAGCCCACGGGAGGGGTGGGGAGGGACCGGGCCCCCAGCTCTGGGGCTGCAGGACCTCCTCCGCCTGCTCAGTCGTCTGGGCACATCCCGTCTTGCCTCAGAAAGGTCTGGGCTCCTAATCAGAGCAGTGGGGGAGAGAACAGTGCAAAACCCACCAAAAATCTTGGTGGAAAACCAGGTGCAGTTAAGTGTTGGGTTGTTTTGGAAGGAAAGGTAAGAGCTGCTGAAAACGCAGCTGATGTTCGTCCGCGGTTGAAGGCACAGCAAATCCCTCGTGGGCGCTGGGCCTAGACGCAGCCGTGAGCGGGAAAGACAGGGTCCGGCCTGGGGCCAGACTGGCCAGCCGGCAGCTGCTTGTCCCGGCATTTGGCCCCTGGGCTCTGGGGGACCCTCGGCTCTGTCCAGTCCTGGGGCTCCGGCTTCAGGTCACCCGGCAGGATGCCGGTCATCTTCGTCTGAAAGCGTCCACTGTGGTTCCTTTGCGCTGTGGGAGGGCTAGACCAGCCTCTCCTCTGAGAGGGTGGCACGGTGGTCTCTGAGTCTGTGTTCTGAGCTCTGCTCTGCCTGCCTTTTAGTTGAGTTCCTTTGCGTGAACTTGGTGCTTCCGTGCCAGTCTTCATCCCGGGGCTCCTGCTTCCAGATGTCTTGTTAACCTAGTGGTGGGCGGGAAGTTCTCCAGCGTCTCAAATCAGAGTGCATTTGAAGTGAGTCTGCGACCAGCGCTGGGCAGCACGTTGAGAGGACAGTGGGCAGGGTTGTCTGGCTCCAACGGGAGGTGCTACCGGCCCCTGGCCTCCTCTGGGCCCCGCAGAGGGAGCAGACTGAGCTTGGCGGGCTGGGGAGTGGCTTTCTCTGGAAACTGGAGGTCTCAGGCAGCAATTCCAGAGGAGACTGGCCCGTTAAAGGGCCTCTTCCCCTCGTGGTGTTTATTTTCAGCGGCGGCTCCCTGCAGAAGCTGGAGTCAATCAGATTGCCAGTGCTGTTGAGGGGGCAGGTTTCATGTTCAGCAAGAAAATAGGAGTGTTGGGGGGGTGCGGCTACTGCATCAGGGAAACCAGCTTCAGGAGAGTGGGGTGGGTTCAAACAGGAGCGCGGGAGTGGAAGTAGGGGCGGGCCTGTGGGATGTCGGGGGCCTTGTGGGCCCTGCAGGGTGAGAATGACCGGGTTTCTGAGGTTGCCCACTTTTCTGGCCAGGCAGGGTGCAGGCCCCCGATGTCAGGCAGCCTCGGGGGAAGACAGGTTCAGTTTCGGACAGGTCTGCAAGGCCCGTTGGAGACTGTGCTTCACAGGAGCGCTCTCCTAGGGGCACCTGCGGGCGGGCCCTCCCCCCGCCACGGGGCCCTTGCCGGGGAGGCGCCTGAGTCACGTCACCACACCCGAGTCACATCACCACAAGCCCTGCGGCTGCTGGTGCGGCGGCGCGTTTCCCAGGCTTTCTGCATCCTCGGGGGCTTGAGGAATAAGTTGGTCCCTTCAGCTGTTTATACCCAGCATCCAGCGAACGTTAGCAAACTTGCTTAGAACTCACCACGTTCGTACTTCCTGCCTGTGCAAGGTTGGTTTTTCTTCAGCCTTTGTGGCTCTCTTCCTGGCACGAGGATTAGGTGCTGGGTTGGCCCTAGGGCCTTGTGTGTGCACACCTGTGCAGGAGCTGCTGCCCAGGGACTCAGCTCGGGGGGCCTGGCAGCTGGGCACTCAGCCCTCCTGGCATGTCAGGCCCCTCCAACTGCCCGTCCTCCCACGGTCTCCGCCAGAGCCAGGGGCTCGAGAGCATGGGGCAGGTCACGGGGCAGGCTGCAGATGAACCCAAGAGTTCCCTGGAACGGCCGTGGCCCAGCCTTGGGTCTCCCAGTCCAGAGGCTCTTAAATGTTTGCAAGTACTACCTTTTTTATTTGAGGTGAATTAGTTTTTAAAAGTAGGCTGGTGGGGCCGGCCCAGTGGCATAGTGGTTAAGTTCACGTGCTCTGTTTCTGTGGCCCAGAGTTCGCAGGTTCGGATCCCGGGCGCGGACCTATGCACCGCTTATCAAACCATGCTGTGGCGGCGTCCCATATAAAGTAGAGGAAGATGGGCACAGATGTTAGCTCAGCAACAATCTTCCTCACCGGAAAAAAAAAAAAAAAGGCTGGTGATTTTTTTTTTTTTTTACAGACATGAGCATAGGGAAAGCAGATATCTTAGGTGTTTATTAAACAGGATTATCAAGATTCATGGGAGGTAAAAGATAGGCTTGCTTTTTAGAATAGCTGTAGACTTCCCCTCCCAGCAAAAAACCGAGCTTTCTGTTGGAGTGTAGAAAGCAGGTGGTGGAGAGAGAGGAGTCCTGGCTAACAAAAGGAGTTTTGAGGAACACATTCTTTCCAGCTTGACTGAGATATAATTGACATATAACATTGTGTAAGTTTGATGTACGTGTGATGGTTTGATATTGTATGTGTTGCAGAATGATCACCACAGTCAGGTTAGTTAACAGCTCTGTCACCTCACATAATTACAACTTTTTTAGTGGTGAGAACATTTAAGATCGACTCTCTTAGCAGCTTCCAAGTATATAATCTGTACTGTTAACTGCAGCCACCAGAGGGACAGGTTCTTACGTGTGCTGATTGAAAGTGAAGACAGTTCCCTAAAAGAAATCCTCATGCCCAAATTGGGTTTGTCCCAGGAATTCAGGGATGGTTTAACACTGGAAAATGTGTTAATGTAATCTATCACGTTAACACGAAAGAGAAAAGGTGATCCTCTTAAATACAGAAGAATAAAGTTTCACATTTATCGTAAAAACGTAGCATACTGGAATAAGACGATTTTCTTAACGTGATAAAAGACATCCATCAAAATCCGCCTGCAGACTTCTGTCACGAGGAAGGTCACAGGACAGGGATGTTTGTGGTCACTGCTGCTGTCCAGCAGTCCATGCGCCTTCTGTGCCGCTGCAGCGGACAAGAAAAAGAGGAAGGATTGAAGGACTGGAATGGAAGAAAAGGAAGGAAAAAACACTCCAGAACATTCCAGTGCTCACTTCTGAGTTAGATCTCTCCTGATGAAGTCTCTACAGGGAGCCGGGGGCCTGGAGGAGACGCCACGGGTCCGGGAGGCACGTGGGGGCGGGACTCTGCGGTGTCCACGGGCTGGCCCCCTAACGCTCTGTGTCCTCTGTCTCTAGCTTACTGGAGGTTTTGGCTCTGTGTGAGTGTGGTCTACGAGCTGTTCCTCATCTTCATACTCTTCCAGGTAAGCGGTTTCCTTGGTTGATGCACTGTGGGAAGTCAGGTGGTGGTGTGGTCCCAGGTGGTGAGTGACAGGTGACAGAGAAGGCTTTGCACGTCAGCCCCTCCCGAGCTTTGGTGGGAAGAGGCAGGACCAATCAGAGTGGGCAGAGGCTGTGGGGACCCTCAGAAGGGTCCATTGGTGGGAAGAGTAGCCGTCGCCTTTCAGCAGAGCCTCTGTTGTAAGTGTGGAGTGCAGCGGCCTGGACCTCGGGGTGCAGGCAATGCTGTGTGGGCCCTGCCCTGATAGGCCAGGGGCAAACCGGGGCAAGGCAAGTGGATGGACCTGCAGGCAGTCTGTGCTTTGAGCTGCAGGAGCTCCCAAGTCAGCAAGGGGCCAAACCCAGGGGAGGAGCACACCTGACCCCATGCCCCTGTGCTCTGGGTGTTTAAGGAGGCCCAGGGCCAGTTGTTACGGGGTGGTTGTGATTTCTGGTGGACCAGGTGTCGCCTCGAGTACTCCCCTCCCGGCACACTCTGCCCGCTGTCGGGGGAGGCGGGACTCATCTCCTTAGTAAATCCGGGACCCAGGTAAGTGGCTGCGAATGTCTGTTTTATTAATCCTCCTGTTCTGCTCAATGCAGTGTGTTTGGATGGTGATCTTTAGTTCCCAGGTGCCTTCCTCTCCACAGTCTCAAGACCCCATCAGTGTGGCTGGGTATTAGCATCACGGGGTAACTTACCATTTTAGGGCAGGTGTACCATTCTGTGAATTTTAACTCCTGTTTGTCTAAACACCACAATTAGGACACAGAACGATTCCGTCGCCCCCAAAACTCCCTCGTTACCCCTGGGTAGTCATACCGTCTCCCCGCCCCTGGCAACCGCTGACTGTGCTGCCTCCGTCACCGCAGTTTTGTTTTCACGAATCTCCCATGAACCGGATTGTGCAGTGTGTGACCCTGTGGTCCACCCACATTCCGCTCCTCTTGGCTGCCCCACGGTGCCGGGACAGTGGTGTTGTCCCCTCCGCATGTAGAAGGACGTGGGAGGGTCTCTGGGCAGGGCTGCTCTGACCCTGTGCAGGCCTCTCTGTGGCCCTGGGCTCCTCTCTCTTCAGGGGGCCCCCGGGTGGGACTGCTGCGCCCTGCGCCAGGCGAATGTTTAGCTTTTTAAGGAGCTGCGGAAGTGCTCCCAGAGCAGCCGTGCCACAGCTCTCTCACGTCCCAGTCAGCACCGGGAGCTGCCAGAAATCTTTATTTTAGCCGTTCTAATGGGTGTGTAGTGGTATCTTATGGTTTTCATTTGCGTTTCTAGAATGGCTAATGATGTTGACCCACTTCTCCTGCGTTTATGAGCCATGCAAATATCCTCTTTGGTGAAGTGTTCATTTTTTCCCTTTTTGAAAACTGGGTGGTTTTCGTAGTGTTGAGTTGTGGCAGCTTTCCATGTACATGCCTGTGCTGCCTTTCTCACGACTGTCCCCATCGCCAGGCGACGTGTGCCCGTGGTCCTGATGCAGGCCGCTTCTGGACGAGTGGTGTCCTTCCATCATTGACGGTGGCACTCTCCATTTCTTTTATGGATTGATTGTGGTGTCACGTCTATGGTTTCTCTTAAGACCAGGTTAAGATTTTCTCCTGTATTTTTTCTGAAACTTCCATGGTTTTATATTTTAGGTTTAGATCTCTCTTCTGTGTTGAGATTTTTTCACATTTTGTTTTGAAATATAGATTCACAAGAAGTTGTAAAAAACTGTAGAAGGAGGTCCTGTGTGTCCTTACCACCCTGTTCCTCGGTGGTAATATTTTGCATAAATACAGGACAGTATCAAACCAGGAAATTGACACTGATACAACCCACAGAGCTCATCACGCTTCTCTGGTTCTACGTGCACGCTTGCACACACAGGCACATGTGTGTATGTAGAATTCTGTGTAGTTTTTCCAAGTTTTATTACAGTGCATTTTTAAAAATTCTTAATTATAGTAAAAAACACATAACATAAAATTTACCATCTTAACCATTCTTAAGCGCACAGTTCAGGGGCATTAAGCACATTCACACTGTTGTGCAGCCACCACCACCACCATCTCCAGAACTATCTATCTTCCCAAACTGAGACTCGGTCCCCATTAAACACTGATTCCCCCTCCCCAGCCCCTGGCGCCCACCGTCCTACTTTCTGTCTCTGTGAATTTGACGACTCTGGGGACCTCATATGAGTGGAATCAGATGGTATTTGTCCTTCTGTGATTGTCTTACTTCACTCAGCATAATGTCCTCAAAGTTCATCCATGTGGTAGCAGGTGTCAGAATTCCTTCCTTTTTAGGGCTGAATAATATTCCATTGTGTAGATAGACTACATTTTGTTTATCCATCATCCTTCCATGGACACTTGGGTCGTTTTCACCATTTGGCTGTTGTGAATAATGCTGTCACTATGGGTGTGCAAATACCTGTTGGGTCCCTGCCTGTTCTTTTGGGTGCATACCTGGGAGTGGGATCGCTGGGTCACATGGTAATTCTATGTTGAACATTTAGAGGAGCTGCCGGACTGTTCCCCATGGCGGCTGCACCGTTTTACACTCCCACCAGCAGTGCACAAGGGTCCAGTTTCTCCACGTCCTCACCAACACTTGTTCTTTTCCCTTTTTTTTTGGCGATAGCCATCCTAATGGGTGTGAAGTGGTCAGGTGGTGTCTCTATGGTTTTCATTGCATTTTCCTGATGGCTAGTGACGTTGAGCATCTTTTCATGTGCTTATTGGCCATTTCTATGTTTTCTTGGGAGACTCGCTTTTGTTTTGATTTTCTTCATGGTCAAGACTTCATTTTATTTATTTATTTAAAATAAACCCTTTATTTATTTTTCTCTTTTTTAATTTTTATTTATTTATTTATTTATTTTTGTGGAGGAAGATCAGCCCTGAGCTAACATCCATGCTAATCCTCCTCTTTTTTGCTGAGGAAGACCGGCTCTGAGCTAACATCTATTGCCAATCCTCCTCCTTCCCCGCCCCGCCCCCCAAAGCCCCAGTAGATAGTTGTATGTCATAGTTGCACGTCCTTCTAGTTGCTGTATGTGGGACAAGGCCTCAGCATGGCCGGAGAAGCGGTGTGTCGGTGCGCGCCCGGGATCCGAACCCGGGCCGCCAGTAGCGGAGTGCGTGCACTTAACCGCTAAGCCACGGGGCCGGCCCTAAACCCTTTATTTTCAGTCACAAAACTGTGAAGTTAGTACAGAGAGTTCCTGTAAATCCTACACCCAGTTTCCTGTTATGAGCATCTTACATTAATATGACTCATTTGTTACAATTAACCAATATCAATACATCATCATTAATCAAAATCCAGAGTTTTCCACATTCTCTCTGTTTGGCCCCTGGGGTCCTCAGGCCCTCTGGCCTGGGCACAGCTCCCGGACGTCCCTGTTTGGTGGCCTAGGCCGTTGGGAGGAGGACTGGTCGTGGTCAGTGGAATGGCCTCAGGTGTTATTTGGGATCGGAAAGTGTGCGTCTGCCCACTTGATTCCTCTTTTTCAAGATGGTTTTGACTCTTCCATGTCTCATGTGTCTCCATATGAGTTTTGGGATCCCTCTTCCATTTCTGTGAAGAGAGCTGGTGGGGTTCCCACGGGGACTGCACTGAAGCTGCACATCACTTGGACTGTTCATCTAGCTCATCCGCAAACACAGGATTCCCGTTCATTTGGGTCTAAGATTCCTTTCAGCAACGTTTGGTGGTTTTCAGAATCTCGTTTCATTTCTTCTGTTACGTTTATTCCTGAGTGTTTTATTCTCTTTGATGCTGCTGTGAGTGGACTTGTTCTCAGGTTCACTTCTGGTTTGCTCAGTACTGGGGAATAGAAATACAGTGACTTCTGTGTTGATCTGTGTCTTGCCCCTTGCTGCACCGACGAGTTCCACGGCATTGCTCTCGTTCGCTGGGTTCCCGGGGGTTTTCTGTGCACAGGGCCGTGTCATCTGCAGAAGGAGTTTCATTTCTTCCTTCCCAGCCTGTGTCTCAGTCTTGTTCCTGCCTCACTGCCCGGCGAGAGCCTCCCGTCCCACGTCGACTAGACTGGACAGGTCCCTGACCCTGTCGAGGCACTCGGTGCGTCACCATCAAGTATGCGATCCCTCTGGGTTTTTTGTAGACGCCCCTTATCAGATGGGGAAGTTCCCCTCTCATCCTCATTTGTTGGGTGTTTTTACCATGAAAGGATGTTGGGTTTTGTCAGATGCCTTTTCCACATCCAGTGGGATGATCGTTTGGTTTTTTCCCTTTATTAACGTGATGTATTACATTGATTCATTTTCTTATTCTGAGCCAGCTCAGCATTCCTGGGATGAATCTCACTTGGTCCTCACTTGTGTCTAACCCTTTTTACATTCTGCTGGATTTGGTTTCTAGTGTTTTGTTGGGGATTTTTGCAACCACACTCGTAAGAGATGTTGTCTGTGGTTTTCCTGGTTTTGGTGTCAGGATTACTTGGGATTTGTGTGGTGTTTTCTCATGACTTGACTGGGGTCAGAGTTCCTGCGATCAACATGTCATCACTGTCAATGCCGACCTCCGTCCCCGGCTGAGGCGTGTCTGCCAGGTCCCCTCCATGCTGTGCTCTGAGGGAAGGTCCCTCTGCACAGCCCGCTCTCGAGGGGGACGAGGGGCACTTCTCTGCTGACGGGGAGCGTCTGCGTGTCACCTGGAGTTCTGCCTGGAGAAGACACGTCTCCTCCCCACCACCTGCTCCTGTGGTCAGTCACTTGTTTATGTCGGTGTGGACCGTGGCGTCTGTGCTGTGCTTTGGGTTACAGTCCCTACGTCACTGATGCTACTCCACAGGGAGCTCTTTCAGTTGGTCCCCATGTCCCTCTGGCATACCCCTCAATGTACTTTTTGGGGAGCACTTCCTTTCTGGCGCTGGAAGAGCTCCAGGCCCACCTTGGGCATCTCCGGCCCCGGCCCTGAACCAGCCGCTTCTCCAGGGGGCCCTGGTTCCTTCACGGGAGAACGGTCTGAGGAACCAAGATCTGGGCGGGGGTGCTCCTTGCCCCCGGGTGTCGTGGCTTCTGGGCCTCAGCCAGCAGCACGGAGACATGTACAGCCGGTGTGTCTGCAGATACCTGTAAATACAGCTGATTCTCCTCATTCTCTGTCAGGCCCTCCTGCCCAGCATCCCTCTCCAGGGAGCCAGATCAGCAGGGACGGGCCGAGGGTCAGGGCCCGCTGGCCTCTGCTGGAGTGGTGGCTCACGGCCCTGACCCACGGGCTTATCTGAGCAGGGGCCTCGGCTGGGACTGGAGCTGTCGGCCCTCAGACACCCTGAGACAGACTGTGCGGGTTTTCAGTCTCATGGGGTCGACTGTCCCAGAATCTGGGCCCCAGTTGCCCTGGCTCCCTGGTCAGGACCCCGCGGGGTTGGTGCGTCCCCATTGACCCCCAGGTCTGTGGTTACTAAGGCAGACGTGGGGTACTTTCAGTTACCAGCGACGTCACCGTCACAGGGTCGCCTCCAAAGACCCCAAGGCGGGGACCTTGCAGGAACGGCCGTGCGTCTGTCTAGCACGCTGGCCTCAGTCACGTGGCAGGATGCAGGTCAGTGTGTGGTCTGCCCACTCATCACGGATGAGGTCGCGTCACCCCAGCTCCTCCCCGCTTGGTCCCTTGGCTGGGACTCAGGGCAGGATCATGAGGTCCTGGGGCCCCAGCTGGTGGCTGGATGGGGCCCAGAGGGAGGAGTGAGGCTGCGCCTGCTCGGGGGATGTCCTCGTCCGTCGGTCAGTCCCAGAGCCTCCTTTGTCCTGAGGCCAGGAGGAGGTTTGGCTAGTGTTGGTGTCAGCGTGTCTGGGAGGCTGCCCCACGTCGTGTGGCATGTCACGGAGGGCGATTCCTGGAGGGTTTGGGCCCTGAACGGATGTGGGGAGGGGGAGGTAGCAAGACCCCTGCTCTGCACCCCCACCCCACCCCTCCTTCGGAGGCACAGCTGTGACCCCACGTGGCGCTGGGCTGGGGGGCTTGGGGCCCTGAGTAGGGGGAGGCTGCTGAGATGGGTGCTCACCCTCACAGCCAGTGGAGGTGTCGTCCACACCACAAGCCCCGTCCCACGTGTGCATCTCGAGGTGTTGGTAACAGACCTGGGTGCCCACGTCTGGCCGCACTAATGGGGGCGCCGGCCTTGCAGACCGTTGAGGACGGCCGCCAGTTTCTGAAGTACGTCGACCCCAGGCTGGGGGTCCCGCTGCCGGAGAGGGACTACGGGGGGAACTGCCTCGTCTACGACGCAGACAACGAGAGCGACCCCTTCCACAACATCTGGGTGAGGCCGATGGGAGTACAGTGGTGAACAGGCCCTCCAGGCGCTGCCCAGTCATGGATGTTTCTGGAGCCCGAGTCACCCTGCAGATGGATGGGGTGGGGCAGCGTGGGCCTGGCAGGCCCGGCCCCCTCCTGCCTGCCCCGGGGCTCCCCTCAGGCTCAGCCCCCTTGGAGCAGGTGCAGGCACCGAGGGCTGTGCAGCCACACATGGGGCTGCTCCCATCTGGCGGTGGGGGCGAGCCCTGCCTCCCAGGGTAGACGCCTGCTCTCGGCCCGGTTGGTTTTGGGGGCCCGTGGAGGGGCACCTGCTCTCCTCAGGGGTTAGGCTGTGTTGTCTGCACGTGCCCACGGCAGCAGGTGCACGCAGCCCAGCCTTGTCCCTCGTGGCTGGCGGGCGCTGCCCAGAGGGGCTGAGGGGGTGGGAGCCAGTGCAGTGATGTGCGTCGGGGAGGGCAGGGCTCCCAAGGGAGAGGGGGTTCTGGGGCCTGAGACAAGTGGGATGTCCACATGACCTGGTCCCAGGCAGGGCTGTGAGGGGCCGCGTGGAGGGTGGGGACTGCACATGGGGCTGGGGCCATGCACGAGGCCTGCGTCCTGTCACCCACAGGACAAGCTGGATGGCTTCGTGCCTGCGCATTTTCTTGGCTGGTACCTGAAGGTGAGGCGACCTCGTTGTCACAGGGGACACCCTGGTTTTCGGGCCCGCCCGAAACCCACAGAGCACAGAGACCCTGTGCTCTGGGTCTTTCTTGCAGCCACAGTTCGAGGGTCTGAGTGATCTGAGTGTGGTGGGCGAGGGCCCAGGGGCTGCACTGCAGGACACGCCAGCTGTCCAGAGGGTCTGTGAGCCACTTGGGAGCTCCAGGTCCCGGCCCTGACCCACGCTTGTCCAGGGTGTTGTGGTGGCCAATGAAAACAATGAGACCCCCACCGTGAGGCCTCTGGCCACTGCTCCTGGGTGAGGGTGAGCATGGGCCCCACACACCCTCAGGCCCTGGGCACACGTGTGGACGCCTGAGAGGTGTCTGAAAGTCTGAAGTAGAGGCCGCTGCATGGCCTCTGTCCCCTCAGGGAGGTGGGCCGGGGCAGGAAGGGCTGATGCTCTGCCACACCTGCAGACCCTGATGATCCGCGACTGGTGGATGTGCATGATCGTGAGCGTGATGTTCGAGTTCCTGGAGTACAGCCTGGAGCACCAGCTGCCCAATTTCAGCGAGTGCTGGTGGGACCACGTAGGTGCCGGGGCTCGCGGGGGGGTCACGTGGGTGCCGCCGGGTCGTGTGGGGACAGGTACCGCCTCCACTGGGCACCCCTCCTGGGCCTCAGCCTAGGGCCCGTCACTGAAGCGTCTGGCTTGTTTGGAGGCCCCCTGTGTCCTGAGGCCCAGGCCGCCCTTGCGGGGAGGACATGGGCACAGGGTCCCCTCAGACAAGGCAGGACAGGGCTGGGGGTCCATGGCACCCACCTCCTGCCTCGCTACCCTCGCAGTGGATCATGGACGTGCTTGTCTGCAATGGGCTGGGCATCTACTGCGGCATGAAGACCCTTGAGTGGCTGTCCCTGAAGACATACAAGTGGCAGGGTCTCTGGAACATCCCGACCTACAAGTACGTTGCGTCAGGTGGCCCCCGAGGTCCCGGTTGGGCTCCATCTGCTGCGCCTTTTGGGAGGGGCGCCCCACGAGGATTTTCCCTCCTGTAATCTCCACCTGGGACTCGTCCCTGGGCTGCCTGGGGGAACCCCGCCAAGACCCGCAGGGTGGCCGTGTGTCCGTCCAACTGGCTCCTCCTCCCCTCCTGGCCTTTCTTACAAAGTGGCTGCAGGCACTCTGTCTGTTGTACTTTGGGATTTAAAAGAAAGCAGCAGTCCAGGAAAAGATATGGGGGCGCCAGGGAGTGGCGTCTCCTCTCCCATCCATCACGGGTGCCCGGAGGGGGCGAGGACCCACGGCCAGGGCGCTACCCCGTGCTCAGAGCACCTGGCAAGGTCCCGTGAGGGTGGCGCAGGCCTCGGGCTGACACGCTGCGTGGTTCTAGGGGGAAGATGAAGCGGATCGTCTTCCAGTTCACGCCCTACAGCTGGGTCCGCTTCGAGTGGAAGCCCGCCTCCAGCCTGCGCCGCTGGCTGGCCGTGTGCGGCATCATCCTAGTGGTAAGGCCGGCCGGCCCCGTGCGCGCGTGGCTCCCGGGCAGCCAGCCTCGCCCCCACCCTCCTCTGTCCCCCAGTTTCTGTTGGCAGAGCTGAACACCTTCTACCTGAAGTTCGTGCTGTGGCTGCCTCCCGAGCACTACCTGGTCCTCCTGCGGCTGGTCTTCTTTGTGAACGTGGGTGGCGTGGCCATGCGGGAGATCTACGACTTCATGGACGACCCGTGAGGGCTGCGTGGGGGGCGGGGCGGGGGCGAAGGGCCTGTGCCGCCCCTCGCCCTGGTGCACACGCCCTCAGCCTGGCGCTCGCCCTCTGCAGGAAGCTCCACAAGAAGCTGGGCCAGCAGGCCTGGCTGGTGGCGGCCATCACGGCCACGGAGCTGCTCATCGTGGTCAAGTACGACCCGCACACGCTCACGCTCTCGCTGCCCTTCTACGTCGCCCAGTGCTGGGTGCTCGGCTCCGTGCTCCTGCTCACCTGGACCGCCTGGCGCTTCTTCCTGCGGTGAGCACGTGTCCCTGCGGACAGGCACCTGATGGCCCCACGGGTGCCAGTCTCCCGGGTCGGGTCTGCCTGGCGTCTGGGTCCCGCGCGGTTTCTGTCTTCCCCTGCTGGCCCTCCGGTCCCTGCCCACGGCTGTGCGAGCTTCCCCACGCGGGGCGGCCCCTCAGCTCTCCTGGAGCCCCGGCTCCTGGGACCTCCTCGGGCCAGCTGGTGGTGACGTGGCCCCCCTGCCCCCAGGGACATCACCCTGAGGTACAAGGAGACCCGGCGGCAGAAGCAGCAGAGCAGAGGCGACCAGGGCAGAGACATTGGCAACATGGATGGTCACCTGCCTGGGCTGGACGACCCCCTGCCTGGGCCGGACGACCCCCCGGGACCCGGGGAGGCCGAGAGGGAGGGGCGCCGGCTCTGAACTGACGCTGTGCCTTGGACCCACTGGGCGCCCAGGCCTGCCGTCCCCTTCATCCTCCATGGGGTTCCCACCAGGAGCCTCCCTGCGGGCCTTGGCCTCGCAGTTTTATCTTCCTTTTCTCCCGTGCACACAGCAGGGCACTGAGAGGAGGGGGTGAAGGGGGTCCCCTTCCCGGGCTTGTGCATGTGGCATCTGAACACGTGTGTGCACGTGTACTCTGTGCTCCTGGTTCCTGAGGCTTCTCTCGGACTGGCAGGTGTTGCAGGTCTCGCCGTGGGCCGGCTAGTCCCGGTGGAGCGAGGCCCTGCCCTTCCCCTTAATGTGCGGGCAGCCCGCTGGCCTGTGGGCCCACACCAAGCCCTCGGGCCCAGACGCCCGGAACTGGGCAGAGGTGTCGCACTGCCCCTTTCTCCACTCCGTGGGCCCCTGGCCACTCTGAGGCCCTGGGATGTCCATGCTGGCCCCGTCAAGCCCCTGGGTGGCGCGTGCAAAGGCTGAGAAGGGGCGCATCCAGGTGGGCAGCCCCGAGCTGTGTCTTCAAGAGCCTTTGTCTAATCTGACTGACCTGGAGGGCGTGTGGGTGGGGTCCGAGGTCACCAGACTGGCCTCTCGAGGGGCGTCATGTCAGAAACTCTTGAGGTCCGGTGCCCACGGTCGGGAGGAGGGGTCGTTGGTCTGTGTGGCCTGAGCGGAAGGTCATCTCCACGAGCAGACAGAACAAATAAAGTGACGATGAAGGTCTGCAGCTCCGCATCCTCTTTGCTGACCCCTGACCTCCGCCAGGCCCCTTGCCCGCCTCAGACACTGTCCAGAGGGTGAGAAGGCCTGTGGGTGGGAGCTGCTTGGCCTGGACGCTCGTCCTGGGCAGACGACCCATCAGGCATGAGGGTCACCTGGACTCCCACCCTGCCACGTTTATCCCCACAGGCCGGCCCTGGGAGCTGGTTCCGGTTGGGGCGCGGTTGGTTAGCCACCATGAGGGCGTACACACACACACACACACACAGAGAGACACACACACGAGTGCCCTGAAGTTCTGGGCACACACACACACACACACACTCCTCAACTGCCCTTTGGGAGGCTTGCAGACCTCAAGAGGTGGGAGTGGGGCCCTTGTGTGCCCCCCCACCCAGGTCCCCCAGCCTGGCTGAACCTCGGGGTGTCAGCTGCAGGGGTAGAACCTCCACCCCACCCCCACCCCTGCCCCGCGTGGGCTCGGGGACGCAGCGCCTGTGCAGCCACACTCGCTCGTGGGCAGTTCCCGTCAGTCTCTCGTGGACTCATCACGTTTCTCAGGGTTCCTCTAAGTTCTGTCCACCCGCAGTTCCCGTGGCCCTGCCGTTGACAGCACAGGCCTTGTCCCGTGGCCGCCCTCACCAGGGGTGTCCTAGCTCGACCAGGCACTGTTGGGGGTCACAGGGCCTCAGCACCCCAGCCAGAGGCTGGTTCTGCTCTCCTCACTGCTTGTGCCCTGATCTGGGGTCAGGACCCCCGCCCCACCCACAGCTCACACCCGAGATGAGCGGTGTCATTGGGCAGGTGGCGATAGTGCCTCTCGCACAGTCACTCAGGGTCACAGTGCCTCCCTACTCCTCAGTGGTGGTGACCCTTGCTCCTCTGGCCCAGGTCGGCGCTGGCAGCCCCGCTGGTCTCAGCAGGAACATGGTTCTCAGCCAGACACTTGGGGCTGGCTGTGCGTTTCCTCCCCAGACCTGGGGTTGCCTCTTTCTCCGAGGAGCCCTGGTTACCTCTGGTTGGGGATCGCAGTAGAAACCAAGATCCTGGGGTGTATGGAGGGGCTTTATAGCAATGCGCCGCCGCTGCTGTCCAGGTACCAGAGCCTTTGGAAGCTGCCACGTGTCCCGCGGCCCCACTGAGTGGCACCCCCGTGATGGTGCCGGTCGGGGCAGGTCACCCTACGCTAGCCGCCCACGGCAAGATGAGGCCAGCCAGACGAGGGTGGACCCTGCCCTACCGTCCAGAGGGCTCTGGGCTCTGCCGGGAGAGCATTCGGGGGCCAAGGCTGCAGGCGCGGACGGCGCGGGAGCAGCTCCCACAGGCCTCCAGTCCAGAGGGGGAGGCCGTCAGCGGAGCTGCTGGCCAAGGCGAGCCCGGCTCCTCACTTCCAAGGACAGAACACGGCAGGTCACCTGAGACCTGGTCCCTACAGACACAGGAGGCGAAGGCCTGTGGGGCGGGGCCTCCAGGGGCTGCCGGAGCAGGATCTGCCAGCGACCTGGGAAGCACGGCCCCCCGACGCCAGCGCAGCCTGCAACCCTGCGCAGAGGGCCCAGCGGGCACGCCCCTGCCAGGGCCTGCGGCTCTAAGCTGCTGAGTTTGTGGTGATTCTGGGCAGCAAGAGAGCGCTCAGGAAAGCATCACACCTCAATACGCACGCCCCTCACGGGGACCCCACGAAGGACAGGGACCCTCCTGCCAAAAAAGTGCTTTAATAGTTACAAAGTGTCCAGAATTTCCTCATGGAAGTAAGTAGATTTGAGCACTTCTCTTCAGTTAGAGCTGGAGCAGCCAGAGCGAGAGGCCGGGGGCGGGTAGCCGAGGCGGGGCTGTCTGGGAGCGTCAACAGGTGGGGGCTTCAGGAGCGGGGCTTCGGGAGTGGGGCAGGGCCTCAGGAGATGAGTCTCAGGCCCGGCTTGCTCTCCTCCAGGGCCCGCAGGCGGTCCTCCAGCGCCTGCGTCCAGTAGATGTCATAGAGGCTGTGTGGGAAGAGGGGGGTGTGGGCCTTGTGCCGCCCGCCCAGCCGTCCTCCCCAGTTGGCCTGAGCCGCAGCCCGCCAGGCCGCCCTAAGTGTCACTTACACCAGCTGCTCCAGGGCGCAGCCGGGCTGCTCGAGGGTCTGCAGCAGCTGCAGGAGGCCTGGGTCCCCCAGGCCGTTGTTGCTCAGGTCCAGCTCGCGCAGGCTGCGGTTGGCCAGCAGGAGCGAGGCCAGGCTGCTGCAGCCGCCGTTGCTCACGTCACAGTCCCCCAGCCTGGGCAGAGGGCAGGGTGGAGTCAGGACAGGGTGCCGCTGACCGGCTCAGTGACCTGGGCCTGTGGGATGGCGGGGGGTCCACAGGCCGCCATGCCCACGGACCCTGAAATATCTGCAGATCACCAGGGTCAGGGCTGTTCCCCAAATCTCAGCCGTGGCGTGTGAGTTTCTCACGGTGTCTGTGGCCCTGAACTTATGGTTGGCCCCGGGCAGATGTCCCCCCTGAAGACGGGAGGCACACGCAGAGCTGCCCTCAGTGGCACAGTGGTCACCGACACCTGAGACGAGCACACCCTGGACTTAGGGCACCAGACGGCCTTTGGGAAGGAGCAGTGTAGGGGACGTGGTGGACAAGAGGAGACAGCGGAGGCGGCTGTCCACCCAGAGGGCCTCACACCCACCCCACCTCCTCTCCACCTGGGGGCACCAAAGGGAGAGCGGAGGGAGTGGAGGGCACAAGAGGACCGAATGCAGGAAGGCTTCCAGGAGGAAGGCCACAGGTATAGGCCACAGACACGAAGACGGATGGGCTGGCCCTTCACCCGCTCCCACCAGGGAAGGGGTGACGCCAGCCAAGGGGCCCCCAGGATGACGATGCCAAGACAACATCGAGGAGCCACGCCAGGCCCCGCGTCTACAGGGCCCTCGATCCACAGCCCCTCTCCTCGCCTGGCTCCAGAGCACCCCCACAGCCCTGGCAGCAGGGAGCTGGAGGACCCCTGTGGGCTCCAACCCGCACCCAGGAGAGCCGCCCGAGAGGCCCAGCAGAGAACAGACGAGACGCCCGATGGCAGAAACGAGAGGCTGAGTCCACAGGCCGGAGACACAAGGACCCAGAGAAAAGCAAATGGAGAGGAGACCCAACGACCATCCCCGAGGACCATCCCCGAGCGCTTCTGTCCAGGAGACGGAAAGGGGTTAGAAAACACTCAAGGGCACAAAGCACGCATCCCTCAGAAGAGGTGCCCAGAGCACAGTGCCCCAGACCACAGCACCACGGACGCAGCAGGCAGGTGCCGCAGAGGCTTGGGGCTGAGGCGCACACGCACAGACACACATATGCGCAGACACGCACACAGGCTCCAGGAATCACCGCCTCCAGGACCCGTTCCGGAAGCCACTAGACGAGAGTTAAGAAAAGAAAAGAAACCTGGAAGGCCCTGGGGAAACCACACGGAGGAAGGGGGACAACCCAGTCGGGCCGGGACCTCCGTCCTGATCCCTGGGGATGAGAACCGAGCCAGCATGGTGCGGCCCCGCAGGCGGACGCGCACACCCTCAGTCACATGCGCACGCACACTCGCGCACACTCACCAGAGCACCCGCAGCGTGCTGCCAGGCTGGCCCAGGCCCTGACAGAGCTCCTGGATGCCGGCGTCCCCTAGCTTGTTGCTGCTCACCTGCAGCTCCAGGAGACACCTGTTGTGGGCCAGCATCGCGCTGAAGTGGTGGCAGCAGGCAGCCGTGAGGCTGCAGGACTTCACCCTGTGGGGACAGAGCAGGCCTGCAGCCACGCCTCCGGGGTGCCCTGGAGGCCCCATGGACTCGAGCATGGCCCCCCGAAGCGCCCCCTGGCTTCTGGGCAGCTCAACCTCGGCGCCCTCCCCACCCTCCAAGGAAGCCTGGCGCCCTCCCCCTTTGCAGCCACCTGCCTCTTGTCCTCGGGTGTGGCAGAGGATGAGGCACCTCCCTCCCGGGCCTCCAGGGCTCCAGCCTGGCCCAGCTCCCTCCTCACACGGGGTCCCCTCGGGCGTCCTGATGCTCTGCCGCCTGGCCCGCACTCACCACAGGGACTCGAGCCGGCATCGGGGCGCCAGCAGGCTCTCGCACAGCAGCCGGGCGCCCTCGTCACCCAGCGCGTTGCCGGCAAGGCTGAGCTCCTTCAGGCTCTCCTTGGCCCTGAGGACGCGGCACAGGTCTCTGCAGCCCGCGGCAGTGATGTCACACTCCCAGAGCCTGCAGGGGACGCGTCACTGCATGGGGACGCCAGCACAGCTACGTTCTTGGACACCCCCCACCCAGCTGTTCTGCAGGCCCCTCACCCACGGCCACAGCCCTGGAGGGAGCGGGGAGGGGCCGGCGCCTCGGCAGTCAGAGCCGCTCAAACCCTGCGCCCCACGCCCACAGACTGACTCACCACAGGGTCTTGAGCTGGGAGCTGGGGCTCAGCAGCCCAGGGCACAGCTCCGCGATGCCCGCATCACCCAGCTTGTTGCTGCCCAGGTCCAGCTCGCGCAGTGAAGCCTTGGAGGCCACGATGCCACAGAGGTCCTTGCAGTTGGCTGGCGTGAGGCCGCAGTTCTCCAGCCTAGGGCACAGGAGGCGCCATGGGAGCTGGGGAGCACCCCACCCGCAGCGCCACACCCCCAGCCCCAGCCCCATGCTTACTTGAGTGTCTCCAGTGGGCAGGTGGAGTCCGCCAGGCCCTGACACAGCACCCGTACACCTGCCTCGCCGATGTCGTTGTTGCTCACCATGAGCTCCTTGAAGTCCTGCTTGGCCCTGAGCACCGAGGCCAGAGGCCCGCAGCTGGCGGCCGTCAGGTTGCAGTACTCCAGCCTGGGGATGGGCGGGTGGGCAGTCAGCCCCTCACCTGCAGGAAGGCGTCCCGGCCGAGGGGCACCTGTCTGGGTCTCCTCTCCCACCCGGGCTGAGGCCCACGGAGGGGGGAGGACGGAGGGGCAGTGAGCGAGTGCCCGGAGCCTCCTGGAAACCGTCCACTGACCACAAGCCCCACCCCAAGCTCCGGGTTCACTGGATTCAGGAGGACGCCCAGCCTCCTGAGCGGGGTCTTTCTGGCTCAGTTTCCTTCCCTCATCACTGAGCCCACCTGCAGGCTCATGGTGGCTGGGCAACCCTGCACTCACATGCGGGTCACAGGCCAGCTGCCAGCTCCTCTCTGAGGGCCAGAGCCCCAGTGTCACGGAGGAGGAGCATCTGCAGGTCCCCGAGAGCCCCCTCCCCAAAGGTCCCTGCAGCCGATGTGCTGGGGGAGGCGCTTGACCAAAGCCCACGAGACAGCTAGGTGTGGGGGCGGGGGGTGCCCGGGTGGGAAGGCAGGCATCGCGGGGACCCCCGGGCAGGGCACACACTCACTGCAGCTTCTCGAGGTGGCACTGGGGGTGCAGGAGCCCCTCACAGAGTAGCTGCAGGCCCGTGTCCCCCAGCGGGTTGTCGTTGAGGTGCAGCTCACGCAGGGTGGGCACCGAGCGCAGCATGCTGGGCAGGACCCCACAGCCGGCCTCTGTCAGGCAGCAGTTCTGGAGGCTGGAACACAACCAGCCATCAGCAGGGACCTCACGAGCCAGGCGTGGCCCCCACACTAGAGAAGCTGCCCCTTTGTCTGCAGGAGCCTGGGCAAGGCAGACACAGAGCACTCCCATGCCCACGGGGAGGCCACCAGCCCAGCCCTGCAGGATGGCCTTGCCTGCTCCTCCTCTGGTCGGGGCTCTGGGGTCTGCAGGCTGAGGGCAGAGGGCAGGAGGGGATGCATGGGAGGGGCTGCGAGTGGGCTCAGAGTGCCTCAGGACCCAGAGGAAGCTGTGTCTGCACAGGAAACTGGGCTGTAGTGGGAGCAGAGGCCTGGGGGGAGGAGGGAGGGGCCCCCAGGCTCCAGGGCCTCTGGCTGAAGGCCAGACACCTGCTGCCACCTCCTGCCCTCCTGCCGCCCGCAAGTCCCCACGTCCCTGGGCCGCCCGGGCAGGTTCAGACCCAAGCCCGCCTGGATCCTGCCTCTCACCTAAGCTTCTGGATCTTGCAGGTGGGGCTCTGCAAGCCCTGCAGCACCAGGTGCACGCCGGCATCGCCCAGTTTATTGGTGCGAAGGCTGAGCTCCGTCAGGGAGGGGTTGGCCTGGACAGCAGAGCTGATGTCCTTGCACCGCGCCTCCGTGAGGCCACAGTCATCCAGCCTGTGGACGGGACACGTGGACGGTCATTTCACCCAGCAGGCTGTGACCCAGCAGTAGGACAAGAACTCAACAAGGTGGGTCACGGCCAGCACAACTTAAAATGAACCAGAAAAAGCGTGTGGATCTTCTTGTGAAACTTTTGTAAACGGCACCGGCACAGACTGCCCACAGACGGAGGTCTGCCCACAGACGTGCGCAGAGCTCCCTCTGCCTCCAGGAAGGAGAGCAGACCTGCCTGAGGCCCAGCTGCGAGGCTGTGCTGGGGGAGGACGTGGCCTCCAGGACACAGCAGCCTGCGGGGCCACGGCCATCGTGGACGACCGAGCCACGAGACAGGCACCAGGTTACAGCTGGGACCAAATCCATGCAGAATAAGCAAACGTCCAGTCAGTGCAGGTGGGAGGAAAGCCAGCTCTTGCTCACAGAAGAACGACAATCAATAAATGTGGAAGGAATGAAGAAACTGAAAATCCCAATTAGGCAAAGGCCCAGGGATAACTGTTTTGGCGAGACCCCTGATGGACATAACATCGGCAGGCGAGGGCCTGAGCAGACACGGTGCAGGCAGAGCTGTGAGATCTCTCACCAGGACGTCTGTCACCTCCAACGGGAAACAGTCACTTCCCAGTGGAGGCCGGGGGAGGCCTGGCAGGCACAGATGGGCATGGTGACCGTCAGGGGGACCATATGGTGCCGTCACTGTCACACCCCCCACAATATGACAGGCCAGGCAGGACACAACATCATCTCTGTGTTGCCAAAAACGTGTGTCTCAGCACGAGGAGACCTGGGGGACCTTCAGAGCACGAGCAGACTTGAGTCAGATGGCCAAGGACAAGGAGGGAGACGGGCCTCTCACAGACGAGAGGGCCAAGGAAACGTGAGGATCTGTGCCACGTGGGATCCTGCAGGGACCTGGCACAGGAAAGGGCACATGAAAAACCTGAAGTCTGAGTCAAGCGGGCTGAGCTGGGTGCCCCAGGCAGCGGGACACTGACGCAGGGGGAGTGGGCAGAGGGCTGAGGGGCCCTGTGTGGGGTAGCAGCACCTCCACAGAGCCCAGTGGGGCCACCGCCTTCCCAAAGGAAGGAGTCGAGCTGAAGACCCTGGGCCCGGAGGTCTGCCCACCTGCCCTCAGAGCCTCCACCCAAACCCAGCCCACCCATCCTGAGCCAGGAACAGATTTAAGTGGTCAAACGGCTGGAAAAAAGTACAAGACTAACATTTCCTGCCACGTGAAAATCAGAAAAATGTACACTGCCTGTCCATAAATAAAGCGCTTCCAGGGCACACCACACCCACTTGTGGGTGTCGGCCGCAGGAGCAGAGCTGGACACCGTGGGAGCCCGCCACCCCCAGCCCACCGCGGCCCCCAGCCGGCCACACCTCCCGCAGGGGCTTGGCAGGCCTTCTACCTGACCACCTCGTACTGCTGGATCAGCGGCAGCAGCTCCGTCCACCGCGAGTCGCTCAGCTGCTCACACTGGATATCGAGACTCATGGTGGGGTGAAGGTTTCTAGACAGAAGGGAGAGCAGGAGGAGCACGTTTCAGCCAAACTCTCTCAAGGTCCGACAGGCCAGAGGTCCGGCAGACGGGGAAAGTCCACGTGGGACCCCAAGGGGCTGACGTTTCAGGAGAAGCCACAGCCACTCCCCTGGCCAGGGCCTGCTTGCTTCCTTTCTCCAGCACCTTTATCCGCCTCAGCCTCCAGGAGCAGAACCGGGGGCGAGCAGAGCGGGGGGCTGTGCCCACTGGACACCCTGGCAAAGGCCACCACGGACCGCGGTGCGCAGGGACGTGGCTATGGGGGCAGAGGCCACTCTCACCTCCCAGCCTCCCACACCCAGCCTTCACGGGCACCTCCTGCCAGTTAGCGAGCCAGGACCCGCCTCCTGTCTGCCTGGGCAGGGATGGGGGGGGGGGTCTGTGGGCCTGGATGAGGTGTGGAGACCCTGGTTCGGGAAGCACAGGGGCAGCATTTGTGCAGTGCTGTGGAAACCCTTCCTCCTGCTCAGCCTATCTTCCCCTCTGAGAACAAGAGGGCTGTGCTGGGCAGGCAGCGCCACAGCCCCACCTGGCCAGGCCATCCACAAAGCCAGAGACCCCCCCCCAGGACGCGAGAAGCCTGGGCCTCACCGCCTTGAAGCAGCTGGGTAGGAGGAACGGGTTCTGTGGTCAGCTAACAGTTCCTCGAGGGGGCCCGCCACGGGGGCCCTAGACAGAACACAGCAGGTGGGTTGGGGACCCCAGGCCCAGCGGCCTGCACACTGGGTGGTGCCTTCATAGGTGGCCACTTGGGGTGCCTGCTTCCATGATCCCTTACTGGGAGCTGGGGACTCAGGACAGGCCAGGGCACATCCTCTGCCCCACCTGGGTCAACCCAGGGACCAGCCCACGGAGAAGCCAGGCCATCAGGCGGACTGAAAAAAAAGTAAGGCCTTTAGCCAGCAGGTCTGGGACGAGAGCAGGGCACAGGCCCTGAAACCCCACCCGGGACAAGGTCAGAGCCTGACGAAATGGGAAACCAGAGCCCCAGGTGGGCGCTGACCGGAAGGGTGTGCCCCAGGCCCTGAAGGGGCCCAGCAGGAGAGGAGCCCGAGGGCAGCCATGACGCTGAGACTGGGCAGGGAGCTCGGTTTCATTCAAGAGCGACAGAAAGCGCAGGAAGGATGCAGCCTGGAACCGCGGCGAGGCGAGCTGCCCTGGAGGAAGGCTTAGCCAATCAGGATGACTCAGCCCCACGGGAGGCTGAGGTTCCCGTCCCCGAAGCCCCCAGCTTCCCGACAACACTGCCCCCCTCGAGTGTGTCTGCCTGACGGCGGCCGCCCCTCCCGGGGCGGTTCTGAGCCCAGAGTGGAGGGCGGGCCGGCACAGGCGGCGGCTCTGTTCTCCTCCTGCTGAGCAGAGGAGCCCCTTGAGCCACCAGCACGGCCAGGGCGCGGGCCGCTGAGGAGCCGGGCGAGAGCGAGTCACGACCGTCCCACGGAGGCACCGGGCCTGCCCTGCCCGGGAGCCCAGGGCGTGGTCGCCCGGACCGTGACTCAGTCCCCGTCATCGCTGGAGGGGACCCGGAGGGGGAGTTCAGGGCTGCTGACGCGGGCCCTCCGGGGCAGGACCACCTGAGGACCTCAGCCCGACCTGCTGCCGAGGTTGCGTCCTCGCCCGAATCCAGTGACGGAAGGGCCCGGCCCTCCTGAGGCGATCTGAGGTTCAGACAGGACAGGAGGGCACGCCGAGCACCCCCGAAGGCTTGAGCAGACCCCGGGGTGTCCCCTTGGCGGGGCCTTGGGACCAGGAGGACGCCACTTGACCTGTGGGGCACCGATCCCTTTAAGAACCCCACGAAAACGGGTAACAGGCCCCGAAAGGTGCCGAGTGGGCAGCCTTCCGCACAAGCCTGGTTAGGGTCCCTGTTCCAGGACCCCGCCCCACCGGCCGGCTGCACCCCAGCGTCCAGCATCTGCACAGTGGCGCCTAATTAATGCTTTCAGGGCGAGAACGGGCCGCTCAGCAGGCCCGCCCCGGAGAGCAGGAGCCGGGTCCTTCCCCACCTTCGGGATCGGCACCGGGCCTTCACGGGGGCCACTTGCCTCTGGCCAGGCCGCCCTGCACGCGGTCACCTCCGCGAGCCGCGGAGCGGCGGGGATGGGCGCTCGGGCCGCGGGGACCCCGCCACGCGGCCGGGCCCGGGAGGGACCCCAGA